AGGAGATATAATGTGAATATAATGCCGATATAACGCGAATATAATTTTCCTTATGTACGCAGCACTACATACGCAACTTTTTTCCCTTTAACTGAAGAATACTACCAGATAAGAGAAATTCTTTATTCTCAGTTTTACTTGCTCTAGATCGCAAGCACTTGAAAAGTAGACTTTTTGCCCTAAAATTTCTTGTTTTTTAATGATCACCTTCCACTGTATATTAAATCAGAAACAAATATTTAAGCTAAAATATTACATTTTAATGCCAATTTTGTTACAGAACTTGATAGTTTATTTTGTTCTTTGATGTTTCATATATATATATATATATATATATATCCTTTCCAAAATTCTCATAAAAAATTATATATATATATATATATCAATTAATCTTATTAAAAAAATTAGAGAATTTTTGAAATATTAATCATTTGCTTTAAGATCATCCGAAGAGTCGGATTGGGATGCATGTTCTGAAAAGTTAGTTTGTAGGATAATTTTGCGATCGCGTTCTCATCTTCATTTGTGAGTTCTATTACATTCTATTGAACTTTGATATTATTTTTCTTTCCTTCGCCTTTCCTATTTCTCCTTTTTTTGTCTTTAGGAATTTGAGACGTGCATTTGGGCATCTTCATTTAATTTTCTAACATTTTTAACAAAAGCATTTTCTCTTGCATAACTTCTCCACGCCTATCTTATAATCACAAATATACAAATGTCTCAATGCAGCAAAATAAATCTTTTGTACATGTAAATACATACGAAAAAACATCATAAAGAAAATATGATGAATTTTGAAATTATCCAATGATTTTCTTATTTAAAATACTAATTTATTTTCATTTTAGCTTTATATACTACTATAATCATAATTACTCATGAATGCTGATAATCTTTTTTTTTTTTTTTTTTTTTATGATTGGTGAATTGGGCCCGTCTAAGAAACTAAATTATTTTTATCAAAAAAAGTCGCAAGGTGAATACTAGAATAAGGAAAAAGTAACTAATTAATGTACCATGATGAGATGGATCTTGAATTCTAAATTGCTAAACTAGATATTTAACCTAAGCTCTAATGATAGTTGAGAAGTGGTTATGACCCCAAAAAAGAATGCTGATTTGAGAAAGTAAAAAATTTTAGTTAGGCTTGTTTAAAAATTATTTTTAAATAAAATAAGTTTTTTTAAATTCAATTTCAGTCTATCATGAAGTAACTGTGAAAATAAAGATATGCAAATAGAATAGCGAGAAAGTATCACAATTATATAAGTAAAAAAAAAAACAAAATAGAATAAGAAGTGCAGACACAAATGATTAAGTTGTTCAACCAAAAACCCAAGTCTACGTCCACACCTAGCCAACCCATAAGCCAATCAATCACTATATCATAATGTTTTAGCAATATAATATCATACTCTCCAATATTGAGCAATTAAAACACCAAATAATAATGCTAGAGTATACTCTCCTTCACGAGATGAGTAGTGTCCCAAAATAAAATACAACAATGTACTCTCCTATAAGAGGTGAGTACTACCACAAACTAAGTTTTTTAAAAAAAAAAACTAAGCAATTGTCTTAAGAAAAGAAAAATATAAATCTATACAACCAAAAATTCATTATATTTTACTTATGAATTTTCAACGAAAGTTATTTTATATTTACAACAAGCATTTATCCCACTAAGTCCAGTGTGTTCAGCTACATGAATCATTTTTCTTCGTTGTGCCATACTTTGATTTATTTTTAAAAAATTATGTTCATTCTTATACAACATGTACCAGTCTTTTTAGATCTAAATCTACCTTTCTTAACATAATTCCAATCTAAACATCTACTCTACTAATAAGGTCATCAAACGGTCAACTTTTAATATAAACAATCCATCTAAGGCGAATCTCTCTAATCTTGTTTGCCATTGGAGCTAATCCCAACCCTTTCACGGATATATTAGTTTCACATTTTATCTCTAAGTTTCAAGACACTCATCCACCTCAGCATTCTCATCTTAGCAACACTTAATTTTATGCTTCTCTGCAGGGGTAAGTACCATCTTATAAAATTTTCTTTTTTAAGTCTATGTGGTACTTTTTTACCATAGAATAGGCTAGATGCATTCCTCCACTTCAACCATCCAACTTGAATTATGATAATAACATCCCCATCTATATAATAACATCCCCATCTATTATATCACCATCACTTCGAACAACATACCCAAGATAGCAAAGATATTCACTCAGTTTAATGACTTGATCATATTTTATTACAACTTTGCTAATAGATCTATTACTAATAAAATTGATTCCTTGTAATCAATTTTAGAACTACTAAAAAAAGAGCCTTTAAACCATAAAGTTGACCAACTTATTCCTAAACTTTCTCTCTCTATTCACAAGAAGGATATCATCAGCGAAAAGCATAATCCAGGGTACATCCTTTTGTAAATGCCCACTAAGGTCATCCAAAACATCATAAAATAATTGCCCCCACAAACACATACAATCACTTATTGCAAGACATAAGTAGGATGTTTTGAATGAAATCAAACACTATTGATATTGAAAATATATTTCAACAAGTTTAGTTTCTTAAATGAAATATGTTTACATCATATGCATTATAATATTCAATTATGAATATACCAATCAAAATAGTAAATATGTAACTAATTATGGCAAAAATAATTTCAATGAAATTAATTCTTAGTTTCAAAAAAAAATTGCATTAAATTAATTTTTTTTAAGAAAAAACAAAATTCTCATTAAAATATATGCAATTTGATATTTAATAATCAAGATGATGGAGCTAACAAATTATTTAAATTATTTTTAAAAAAATTAAATTTTGAATCTTAAAGAATAATTTCAACAAAAAAAATACAATATGCAATGATACAATGATAAGATTAAACTTAAGGAATAAAATGATTGGTTTACTAATTTTTAAAATAAGTTTTCGATGAAAAAAAATATTATTCTTTCAACAATTTAAGTTAATTTTAAACACATACAATTTTCACAAACAAATTTAAAATAATTATAACCAAATGCAAATCTCACAAATAATTTTAACGCAATGAAAGATAATTTCAGTGCTGAAATTTTTTTTTTTATTTCAAAACAAATATATTTACTTTAGCAAAACCTAAAATCTATTTTTTAGATAAAATTGATTTAAAGGAACTTTAGTTGTACTTTCACTGTCAAATTGAAAAAAATTTCAGCATATTAAAGATGAAATTTCAACAACAATATGACTTAGAAATAATTTGTAATGAACTATAAGGCTTTCAAAAATAAATCTTTACATATTGTAAATTAATTTTTTTTAAAATAAACAAATATTTTAACTTAAAATTTACAACATATACGAATAAAATAAAAGTAGCAAAAGCTAAATCAGATAAGATCAATTCAATAAAATCATGTACTCATAATTAAAATATCAATGTTGATAATGTTTTTTAACTAGAAAATATACAATAAGGTTTTTGTAACATAAAGAGTTCAATCAAAGGTATTTTATTAGAGAATATTTTTGCAAATAAAAAAAGATATCCAAACAAATACTTGCAACTACAAGCACTTTCAAAAATCTTTAAACCACTTTCTCTTGATTTTCCTTATTAAATAACCCAACAGTTAAGAATACTGCTAAAAATTTCTTGAAGAGGATGGAGATTTTCTAAAGGACAATAAGTCATTGAAAGTGAAATTTTCAAAATATTTTATAATATATTGTGACCTACGCTAGGATGGCTTTCGAGTTTTTGAGGGCAAAGGGCATGAATTAACCCTCGCATAATCTAGCCAATGAAAGAGTACTTGTTTGATTACTTTTCCTCTTACTTGCTTTAAAATTCTTAGAAGTCAATTAATTGTAAACGAACTTTTTTTAATTTAAAATAGATTTCAACTTTAACAAAAATTAGAAGGAAAATTAATCAATATTTGAGAGATTTTTAAACGATAAAATCCAGCTTAAATTTCTCATGAATTAATTAACTAAGTGTTTAATTAATATAGAATCATATATATATATATATATAATATATAATATATGTCTGTGTGTGTGGGCGTGCGCTTGCCTAATGGTGGCGGGGTCATTATAAGTCCCCTCAATTCAAGTGTTCAATCCCACCATGGCACGGGGGATCTGGAATATTAGGCGGATGGCACGGGCTCTCATTATGGGACTAGAAAGCGCAAGAAAAATCGATATTTAAGCATCTGTCGGATATCTATTTCTTTTAATATATATATATATTATAATACACACACACACTGAAACACGACATTAAAAATATATTATTGAATAAAAATATGCTCCTATATAATTAACATATGAAGGATTAATTATGCATAATAAGTTAGCATATCACATGAAATATAAAACAATCATTATTTTAAATTAATACGTACGTTTTTTGAAAATGAATAACATAATATCCAATGAATTACTAAAATATTTTCTAAAATTGATTAAGATATTTTTTTAATAAAAAGAAAATAACACTATTTAAACATTAATGTTTGAAACACTGACGCTAAACATTTAAACTATAACGATATTGCATGAAAAATAAATTTTAATGAAATTTAATTTATTAGTTAAAATAAAAATCATAACTTAAATTATTTAAGTTCATTAATTTCAAATCAAAAGTAAGATAGATACTTTGTGAGTTTTAAGACAAATAAAATCTAGTCAATATTTTTTTATTTTGATTTTATATGACCTCATCAACTAAAGTTGAGTTAGCCCCTTAAACACAGTTAACATGTCGGAGCATAAAATCATATGTTTGTCGTCATTTAAATCAAATAATGAGTTATAAAACTAAAGGGGCTAATATTATGTCTCCTTGCAAACTTACATTAATTTTATCAATTGTTATTGTTATAATTGAGAAAATACTATCCATAATGAGAATTGAACATTAATTATGTAGTCCAATCGATGATTGCAGACTCGATGATTATTTGATATCTTATTGAAAAATATACATTTGACTGGACTTCCAATAAAACTTTACATAATATTATCAAACAATACAGAATAGAATAAGAAGCTTGTAGTCATTGTTTAATTCAACAATGATAATAAAATAAAAATTCTTGAATATGTGCTACCAATTTTATGTAATAAAACTAATTATTTTATTTAATAAATTGCCACACTTGCAAAATTGTCTGATTCCGCCTTTGGCTAAAGCCACCACCTTTATGTTAAGATTTTGTGTTGTGCCACGAGAAAGAAAACTATAGACCAATTGCTTCCTCGAGGTTTTCAGACAGCCTTTGCCCACTTGCTGCTGGAATCATCAATCTTTTTCATAAATGGTTATGCAACAAAAATAATAAAAATGAAAAAAGTTATAGCAGGTCTAGTCATTACACGACTGTAGCACAAACCTTATTGGTAACATTGTAACAAGGGTGTGCAGAATGTTTAAAGCAGATCTCCAGTCAACAGTCACGACAAAGGTATTGAGCTTCATAGAACTAAATCAGATTATTTCAGCTTTCAATCCTATATTCACATACAAAATATGGTATTTGGGGCTCTTACATACAGGTAGTATATCAAAAAGCAACCTTTGCATTCAAACTCATGAATTGAGCAGTCAAGCATAGACTCTAGGTATTAGAGAGTATATTTGTATATGTTTATGTGATTAAAAAAAAAAAGAGATTTAATTACTAATGACATTATACGTATCAAAGGAGGTGGAAAAAAGATTGTTGAAGTTCCTTAGGTACAAGGAGGCTAAAATCTGCATAAGAAAATTGACACCCAGAGAAAAGAGTTTCCACCTCATGAAGCACTCAAATGAACTAGGATGCACAAAATCAAACCCAAATAATTAGAGGATAAAACAGATAATAATTATAGTCCTTTCTATAACACATGTCAATAAGGCTTATTATAAGTTTGAGAATTTAACTCCGACTTAAAATGTATATGTGAAAATCAGGAAGTAACCGGTTGTTTTCTTGGGTGGATAGTTTTATTCTCTTTCAATTTATGTTTGTCTGTTAATTTTATTTCAAAATTATTTCATTTCCAAATTTAGATTAGATATTATTATAAGTTTGAGAATTTAACTCTGACTTAAAATGTATATGTGGAAAATCAGGAAGTAACCGGTTGTTTTCTTGGGTGGGCCGAGCAGCCCCCTGCTTATCATGAAAGATAGGATTAGGAGATAGCTTTGGAAACTCCTTAATAGTTTTATTATCTTTCAATTTATGTTTGTCTGTTAATTTTATTTCAGAATTATTTCATTTCCAAAGTTAGATTAGATATATTTGATATATTATAAATTAGAAGGATTTAGTTTGCTTATATATTATATATATACGCTACATGTGAATAATGAAATAGTTTTTTCTTCCCAATCAATGGCTACACCATATCAGAGAAGTAGCCCTAGATCCTTTTTCATTTTTATTACTGATCGCGGTCACAGCCTCAGCACATCTTGAGGTCCAAGCATACCATGGCCTCTCTACATCTCGATTTTCAACCAATCAACTTGAATTCTACTAATAACATCTCCATCATACCATCACTTTGAACAATAGACACAATATATCTAAAATGTTCACACATTTTAGTAATTTGATCACCCATAGTTATAATTCTACTACTAGAGCTACTACTACTAAAATTGCATCCCATGTATTAAGATTTAGATCTACTAAAATAAAGAACTTTAGACTCCAATGTAGACTTCCATAATTAAAATTTTTTTTTCCTGAACACTTTCTCTAGTCTTATCAACGAGTAGGATATCGTCAATGAAAAGCATACATACATCTTCTTGTAAATGTCCAGTAAAAGCATCCATAACTAAAGCAAAAATATATGGGCTTAATATCAAACCACGATGTAATCCTACTAAAATAAGAAAATACTTCGTTAGTCATCCTTCGATTCAAAACATAAATAATAACTCTAGTATACATATCTTTAATGACTTGAACATATATCATATCAACACCTTTCTTTTCTAGAACTCTCTAAAGAATTTTACCCTTATTGTAGCTTTTTTAAATCAATAAAAATCGCATGCAGAACCTCCTTACTCTCTTTGTACTTCTCTAGCAAACATCCCAATAAATATATAGCTTCCATAGTAGACTTGTCTGGCATAAATTCAAACTGATTAAGATAAATTTTTGAAATTGATGAAACTAATATTATGATAGGATCTTAGAATATATGTACTCTCAATGGTAAATTAATGGAATTAGTTGATATTATGATTCATAGAAAAATTAATATCTTATGCATTCAAAAAACAAAATCGATGGGAGAAAAGGCTAAGAAGATTGATAACTTAGGTTTTAAACTTTGGTATTCTGATAAGAGTCGCACTAGAAATGATGTAAGTGTAATTATAAATAAGAGTTTGAAGGATAATGTTGTAAAAATTAATAGAGTTGGTGATAGAATTATAGCCCTTAAAATTGTTATTGATACTAAGATTCTTAATATTATAAGTGCTTATGCTCCTCAAGTAGGTTTAGATATAAGATCTAAGGATAAATTCTCGAATGACTTAGAAGACTTAATACAAATGATACATCTTGAAGAAAATTTTTTTATTGTAGGAGATTTAAATGGACATGTTAGTAGAGTGGTAAAAAATTTCAAAAATATTCAGGGTGGCTACGATTTTGGAGTGACCAATGAAGAAGGTAGAGTCATTTAGGTAGAGCTATTTTAGATTTTATTTTAGCGTATGATTTTGTTATTACTAATATTTTATTGAAAAAAAGGGATGAGCGTCATATTACTTATAAGAATGAATTTAATAAAACACAAAATGATTATTTTTTGATGAGAAGAAGAGATCATCGAGATTGTAAAGGTTGTAAGATCATTCCAAGTGGAGATTTATGTACTCAACATCGATTATTAGTTCTAGATTTTAAGATGAAAAGCTGTAAAATAAAGAATACTGGAACTCATTATTGTAGAATTAGATGGAGGAATCTAAAAGACACAAATAAAATTATTTTTATGAGTAAAATTTAAGATTTCAAGATTTGGGATGTTCATGAAGAAGAAAATGCTATATGGGATGAAATAACAAACACTATAAAACAAGTAACAAAAGATTTATTTGGAGAATCAAAATAAAAAAGTTTATATAAATAAAAATAATTGGTAGTGGAATAATAATGTGTAAGATAAAATATAATAAATTATGTTATAAAAATTAGTTTAATTGTAAAAGTTTAAAGAAATGAAAAAAAATCAAACGGCTCGCAGGGAGTCTTAAAGAACAATCCATGACGCTAAAAATTCAGCTTTTAATGATATTTATGATAGATTATATACCAAGGAGGGTGAAAAATATATGTATAAACATATAGCTACCCAATTAAGAATAAAATTACTAATTCAATTAACAATTATCCTCGAGAGATTTTACCTAGTGATCCTGAGATAAACCTTAAGGCGAAAAATGATGGGCAACATAAAGCTACTCAATTAAGTGGTGAAAAAAAATTGAAGGATATGGTTCAAATAAATGTTGAGTTGAGAAAAGAGAAAAATGTGATTGAAAAATCAATAGAATAAATTCCTAAGGAATTAGAAAAACCTATTTCAACAACCAAGATAAATATAAAAAGACCACATTCACCATTTCCTCAGCCCCAAGGGGAAGAATAGGAAGATAACTTGAAACAAAAGAGTAACCTAGTAGAATTTGAGCCAAAATCTGAATTACCTAAAGAGAATCCGATCCAAAATTTGGGAGATCTTGAACTATCTGATAGAAATCCATTTCTTATAAATTTCAAGAATGATATTAATATGCAAATTGAGAAAATTATTAGAATATTGGATCTAGAAAAAACATGAAGAATAATGATATGAATCGATCTGAAAAGAAAGAACTGAAAAAAAAATAAAATTTGAGGATTTAGTAGGAATCCATGGATCTCAAAAAAATTGGGCGATTGATCAAGGATTACTTAGATGAAATTTTGATCCGGGAGGAACCGTTTGTCGGGCTGGTGACATTAAGTTAAGCACTTTATAGAAGGCAATACATAGTTATCAGTGTGGTTTGATTTAGTATGTTTGAGAGTCATGATTGTTAGTGTTGTATTGTGTTTGTTATATTGTGGATTGATCAGTTTGATTGATGTTGATAGATGTTTGAATTATTTTTTAATTGGTTTGATCTTTATGTGTGTCATAAGGGATGTGATTCCTTAATTTCTTATGGTTCCATCTTAATTTTGTTATTTCCTTTCTCTGACTTTATTTTTATTTAATAGGAGTTGCGAACATAGATGAGTAACATGAGGATGATCTTACACTACCCTTATAATTCTTAGAGGCGCTTGATTAAAAGGATATGGTGATGTCTGGAGTTGGTGCTCGAGGATCAAAAAATCAGAGATAATCGTATCTAGGGGATTAGAGTTTATAAAACATTTTAAAGTACCCAACATACCAGTGTAATGATTATGTTATAAAATGGAAATAATGTAGTAAGATGCAAAGAGTTAAAAGAAGAATCAACCTCATTTATCATGTATATTTGTGTTTTTGTTCGTGGTATAACAATATATAAGACTTGGAGAACACTTAAGCATATATTCATATGTTGATATTTGTCATGTTTGTTCGACCTTTCTTTAGTTCAATTTTATTCTGGCATGTTTAGCTTGAATTTACTTTCTATTACAAGTTGTTCTGTCCTGATGAATACTTGTAGAATTTTTCTATTACAAGTTTAAATGAAAAGAGTTAAAAACAATCCTAAGGTTAATCTTATTTCAAAAAAAATTAATTAAATTGATATAGATAAGGTGCTTAAATTTTGTTTTTAAACTTTATTTGAATCTATAGTTTGACAAATTTCAATAACTTTTTAAGTAAATAGAAAATAAAAAATCCTAAGTTGAATATGATATATTTTACACTCAGTCCTATGTTGATTTACTAGAATTTCTCTTAGATTGCACTATAACATTTCTGAAACAAAATTATAAAAAAGTCTACTGAAATCCACTATCTCAAATCAACAAATTTGGTCTTTAAAGTTATAATGTTTCTTGAAGAAAAGTAATGATCAAGTTTGGGGGAATTGATCCAACTTAAATTACCTATTTTAAGGTGCATTTCATGTTCATTTTATGCACATTTTTAATGATATTGCACTCTAAAGAAAGCTATTTTGCAAGTTTTTGGTTTCAAGTACAAGGAATGGAGTTTTAGCGAAAATGAAACAAAAACGATGTAATTTGAAACCACATTGAACAAGGAAAAAAATTTTGAACTGGCACATTTTGATATGACTTTCTATGTTTAATTTCCTCTATATTTATCACATATTTTTAAATGAAATTACACTATAAATAAATGTTATTTTCATGTTTATCTTGTATGTATAACACTAAGAGCGAACCGGAGCTAAAATGGGGCAAAACAGAGCCAAAACAAATGCTTGCTAGCAGGGTGGCGCTATAGCGTTGGATTATGGCGTTATAGCACCAGACACG